GAGAAAAGTTTTAAAATATCAAAAATATTCTTGCATTAATATTTTAATTCAAAATTGCCAAAATTATAAATTTCCTAATTTATCTATGGATTTGTGGTTAATATTGGTTCTCACAGTTACCACAAACTAATTAGTTCTCATTTGATTAGGCCCCTATATATATATATATATAGGGGTTGGTTCAAATGTTAACCAAGATTATTGTGTTAATTTTGTTAACCAATTTTGGCCATTGATTCTCACAATAAAGGGTTGTGATTAATCATGATATAAATTTAAAATTTAAAATTTACAATTTCAAAGAATATATGTGAACAAAGGGGAAAAAGGTATTTAGGTAATTTTCTTTTTCATGTAACTCCCATATCATTAATTGGGAGTTACAAAATTAAAAAATCTCATTATTTTTATTATTTTATTTTTGATAATGTAAGAACCATATGAACACACACACATATGAGCTATTGTATCAAATACGAACAAAAATTGACATATATATGAACTTGGACTGTATAGCATTTATGAACACATGAATATAATAAGAATAGTTGTTACACAAAAGTAAATAAATAAAAAAACAGGTATGAATACAATATGAACAGTTTGTGAATAATAGTTCATTCATTATGAACACATTCAGGAGCAAACCAATGTTGAAATATGCAGGTAGTGTACATATGAACACAATATGAACAGTTTGTGAACAATAGTTCATTCATTATGAACACATTCAGAAGCAAGCCAATGTTGAGATATGCAGCTAGTGTACATACGAACACAATATGAACACTTGTGAACAATTCTTTAACAATTACATATGAATTCGAATTGCGATTGTAGTCGTAGACGATTTTAACCTTTTCATTCTCATTGTTGTCAATTTGTTTTCCAATAGGTTTATCCATATTACTCAGACGATATCGAAATCTTTACAATCAGAAATTCTTTAACAATTACAAAATCAAAATCATTATGGATATAATAAATCGAAATTACAAAACATGAACACGTATAAAAAAATATCAATATTACATAATCATCAATTATTGAGATTTTTAGATTTGTAACTCCCAATTAATGATTTGGGATTTACATAAATAACAAATTACTTAATTACCCTTGTCATTAATATATGAGTTATATGTGAACCTAAAGAAAAGATAGAATATGATTGGTTGAGATTGGTTAACAAAGTTAACACAAAAATCTTGGTTAGTATTTGAACCAAGCTATATATATATATATATATATATAACCTTTACATAGCCCAAAATTACTCCCTCTAATTTTATCTTTCAAAACATATCTATGGTATATTATAAAGCATTTGATAAAAACTTTTAAAAACCATTATATATATATATATATATATATATATATGAAATATTGTTTATTGATGCATATTACTTAAAAATCAAGATTACAAGTAAATTATGTGTAAGTACAACTTATTAAAGCTTAATGTTTGAATTCTTGTAAGTTATAACTAACTGCAGATAAATACAATCAAATATAGAATAAACATTCCATTTTAAATAGAAAAAATCTAAAATATAATTAGAATAATAATTGAGTTTTAACAAAATACTTAATTATTATTCTTATAATTTTTTTTTTAAATGCATTAAAGAAATACACAAAAACGAGTAGATTATTTTGAACCAAGGGGCACTCAGATGAAAGCCATTGACATAATTTAAAATCATTTATTTAAACTATCGACCGAAAGAGTACCTTAATGTATAAAAGAACACAAAACGAGCATGTTTCTTAATTGTCGATTTCAGTTGAAAGTTCAAAAGTTGCGGATATTTAGTAAAACCACGGATTGGATTGGTCGTCTAGACCATTATCGATGCTATTTTGTCGAGCCATGAACTCACCCGAACTCCGCATTGTTTTGGCTACTACGACACACGAAGAAAAGCAGTTTCCGCTCGAGCTTTTGCTAGTTGGCTTTGAGCTATATGTATCTGTCGATGCAGTGACGATATTATTCCGACACACCCGTAAACCGGCTCTTGTATTCTCCATTTGGCCTCGTAATACAACGAATCCACTGCGTCCACTCGTAGGTGCATCGGCAATCCCTATATAAGATCACAGATAACAAAATAAAACGATAACAAATATGTTGGAAAACAACGTTTTTCCACAAAAAAGAAAAAATGTGGTCCCCATTTAAAAAACCCGTCAATGAAAAAACTTTACCGTTGTGAATACTCTAAACACGGTCAAAATCGAGAAACGAACAAGATTACATTCAAGATTTATTACCTCGAGCATCTTACCGATGTTGCTAGCGCCGTATATTCTATGAAGACAAGTGAATCTTTGCGGGTTATCGGGAGGGAAATAAGGTGCGAAAACGCAGTCCGAAGGGCATCTTCGTCTGAAATACTTGCAAACCGCACATCGAGTTGAATTCATCCGGTCAACGTTGTGAAATATTTAACAAGAAAAATCTAATGGAAGATTCGATGATGATCTTGAAATAGTGTTTGAGATTTTGAATTAATATCCAACACATAACGGCTAAATTTTCAATATAAAAGGAAGGTTATTAAATCCAACGGTTGGATTTAATTGATTTGTAAAGATTGGGAATTGTTTATTAAATTATTCACTATTATAATATACAATTAAATTTGTTAATTATCAAATAAAATACATTTAATAATATTGATTGGTCTAAAGACGGGTTTTAATAACTTTCCTTTTGAATAAATATAATAATACATATAAATTTTTTGAAAGTTGGTTTTTAAATAAATATAAAGACGGGTTTTTAATATATACGGGATATATATATATATATATATATACTATGTTATAAAACATTTGATAAAAACTTTTAAAAATCATTCTTTATGCACTAAGTACTGTGTATTAATGCATATTACTTAAAATTTAAGATTACAAGTAAATTATACATAAGTACAACTTATTAAAGCTCCATTTTTGAATTTGTATAACTAACTATAGATAAAT